TTGGCACTGTCTATAAGGCACATAGCCCAGTTTTCTAGTGTTTTTAGACTGATTATCATTAGTATGATATAATTCTTCCCAACACAGAAGAGACTTTAAACCTAAATTACCATAGCCTGGTGTTATCTATATAAATCCATCCCATAATTGAGGGAGATATTTTCCTTTGCTGAAACTTTGCTTCTTGCTCTAATTGAGCTTTAGTAATAGAAGAAAACTCAAGTTCATGGCCAGGGTCAGAGCAGGCTTTACTGACCAGGTGAGGGGATCTCATCTAGTAATATCAATAGTGACCTATACATGACTATAACTTTCCTTTTAAAGTAAATTTCTTCAGGGCCAACCAATTTGAGCATTGGAGTAGAGAAATTCACCAAGGTAACCCAGAACCAAACACAGGTAATTGACTACAATCCCAACAATTGGATTGATTTCTAAAACTAGCATAGGATCATGCCTATGATAGAAAAATATTTGATTTATGTGTAAAAGTCCAAGAAGTCAAGAAAACATTATAAATGATTATACAAATCAGGTCCAGCATCTTTGGCAAGCTGTTTATTTCTGATGTCTTTTTCTTGTCCTGGTGTAGTGCAGTTTCTCCTCTGATAATATGTCCTTCCCTCCAGGTTGGAGACAGTCCCTTAAATTATGTCTTTTTCCAGTCCTGTTTGTGGGTTGTGAGGCATCTGATCTTTGTCCAAAGGTAGGTTACTGAAATAAGCTTCAGAAACAAATTTAGGGTATCTTTTAATAATTCAATTAAATTTTAAATTAATATGGCAACCCACTCCAGTACTCTTGCCTGGAAAATTCCATGGACTGAGGAGCCTGGTAGGCTACAGTCCATGGGGTCACAAAAGTCGAACACGACTGAGCAATTTCACTTTCACTTTCACTTAACAGCAAAGAACTATCCAGGAAATGAGTCTTAGTAGATAAAGAACTTGATTAACAAACTGGGATTTAACATTCATTGAAACATCCTTTTCTCCCTAAAATCACCCTCGTTTTTACCAAATATAACCAAATTAAGACTAGTTTGTTTGTGAAATAGGTCTGGTCTCAATAAACTTGGCCTGATGCTATATATAACCATAACTAATCATAGAGTTTTTACTTTGCTGAAACTTTTATAGAGTCTCAGGCTGAACTTTCAAAACAAAACCTTTCAGGGCTAGGAAAGTCTTGCCAAAGGCTTATCACAGATTTCACCTAACACATCTATGTGAATTCCTCTCTTTTCAAGGTCTTAAAAATTCCTTGAGATTTCTGTACTTGTTAGTGACATAACTTTCTAACTTATCTGATAAAGTTACTGGAAACCTAAGAGTTTCCAATATCTGGAGGGGTCAGGTAGACAAGATAAATGTTTCCGTTTATAAAATATAATTTTACCAAATTATTGTCATAATTAGTTTGAGGGGAAGGTTTTCCCTACTCCCGGAAAACACGGAGTCAAACCCAGAACTTTTCAGATAGAAACCGTAAAAGTTATAAGCATATTTACCAGTTCAGTTCTTCTGTTAACCTTTGTAAAGTCATCAGGTTTCTCCTTAGAATAACAGAACATGTCAGAGTTTTAGGAAATCCATATAATTTCTAGGATATCTATGTTAGTAATATTTACCATACAATATAACCTGAGAGGATTTATTACTCATTTGATAATATTTCCCATGTAATTTAACCAACCAAATAAACCCCCCGCAAATTAATTTAATATCTCTCTTTGGGATGTTTCAGGGGCCCTTTGAAGCATCCCAAAGGTAGCTAGATGTCAAAAGAACTTTAATAGAATTTGATTTAGGAAATTTTGTCCAAAAAAATCAAAAGGGTTTAGAACATTCAGTCAGATCTAGCCAATGCTGATGGGTGTGTCACTTAGCCTGCATATCTTACAATGGGTGTACATAAAGAGGCTCAAAGTCTAGTCAAAGTCGATTCCACCATCTTGGACCTAGTTGGTTTTAACCAGTTTTCCTATGACTGAGTCATTCCTAATGAAATCCATTTACCCAATGAATTTTAATCCAGTTTTAGAAAATCCTGATCATGTATAACTCTTTTCAGTAATTTTTTTATATCTTCTTCTACTGAAAACCCATCTTAGTTTCCCTAAAGTATTTTCCACAATGAGGTACATTTATGGTTGACAAATTTGTAACGGAATACAGTCTTATTTGACATCTAGTAAACCTAGGTACAACAGAAGTATTATTGATGGTTTGAAAAACCAGGTATTAACTTAATACTGAATATTTCCCAGTTCACATGAATCTGGAATTCATTTAGCTTAATTTAGAATTGTTTGCTTTGTAAAAACTTATATTTTTTAAGCCAATTAAATAGAACTCATTTACAAATTAATCTCAAAAATATTATCCAGATACAAAGACATACCAAGACAGACACATATTCAGACAGACACAATAGGAGATCTAGCTTCATTTTCTAAATTTAGTTGCAAATTAGATATTACAGTATAAAATTTACTAGTTTATAAAAAAATAATTGGAATAAATAAAAATTTTAAAGTCTTCTTCCCATTTTTCCTCAGTCTCAGGAGTTAGAGATGGTCTACATAAGTGTTCCTCAGAGCTCTGGTCTCAAAGCACAGGGAAAGAAAATCAAGTTCTAACAAAATGGCGGCAGGCCTAAACCAAATGGTGGCCACACAAAGCCAAATGGCCATCACAAATTACAACACAGAAGACAGAGTATAAAACACAGACATAGACCTGGCAGTCCTAATCAGACACTCCCTTAAATACAAGATTACAGTCTCTCAGTAAACATCCTGTAGAGACATAGAACTTCAGACCCAAGTACTAACAGAGTAAATGAAAATATCTCAGGTCTTCCAAGATTTTAAAGGGAGAAAAGGAAGCCAGGTTGAAAGAAGAGGGGATGAGGTGGGAGAGGGGGCAAAATGGGTGAACTTTCTGATATCTCTTGCCACCTGCAGATATCCAGGCATTAAGGGACTTTACCCTGAGCCTCCAGAAAAGGGAAGACTGGAATTCAGCCCTGCCAGAAACCAGACCAGACCAGAACAGAACCAGAATTCCAGTTCTCTGCCAAGAAGAGGTGATCAGCCTCTGATCCTCAGCTCAGGCTGAGGCCCTTCAACCAGATCCTGCTCCAAGACCAGGGGACTAGAAAAAAAGGGTAGGATGGGAAAGGTTAAGGAGAGGAAAGCGAGAGGGGAGGCGAGAGAGGTCAATAAAGTCTCTCATTCCTTACCCAGTCTGGGCACTCTGGCTAGTTGTCTGCATCAGGAGGAGACCAGGGACAAAAGGGTCCCAGTTGAGGCCACTGGTCTGGTCCATCAGCAGGCAAGCTAGTCCCCAAGTACCCCAAGTGATCAGGATGTCAGTCGCTGCAAAGAAGAGAATCGCCATTTGTAGCAGGAAGGGGGACACCCCTCCCCCCCAATCAGGGCCCAAGACCATGCTCTTAGTCTAACACTCAGAAATGAACTGTCTGAGGAGACACATGTGCTGACAAAGCAAGAGATTTTATTGGGACAGGAACCCGGGGTGGAGAGCAGTAGGGTAAGGGAAACCAGGAGAGATGCTCTGCTTGCAATCTCATGTTTTATGGTGATGGGATTAGTTTCCGGGTTGTCTTTGCCCAATCATTCTGACTCAGAGTCCTTCCTGGTGGTGCACGCATTGTTCAGCCAAGATGGATGTCAGCAAGAAGGATTCTGGGAGGTGGGCAGACACGTGGTGCCTCCTTTTAGGAAACACGGAAGAGTTTCCCAAACTCTTCCGGTTGGTGGTGGCTTATTAGGTCCATGTTCCATACAAGGACCTCCCGTGGTAAAACAACTCATGCACATGGTTGCTATGGTGCCTGGCCAGGGTGGGCAGTTTCAGTCAGTGTGCTTCCCCAACACATTCACACCTCCCACTCTCTTCCCTGCAACAGAAGGAGAACCTCAAAGGGGGAAGGTGAGGGAAAGTGGGCAATCATTTCTCTATCTTCTCTCAGCTGCAGTGCCCACACACTCAACTGAAGTGCCTCAAATGAGACCACTATGAGGCCTGTTGCAGACTCCCAACAGCACCAAAGATTTCTGAGGGCCAGGAATAGCAGAGCCAAGGAGCTGGGAACAGGAGGCGTCTCTTGAGAATACACTCCCTGCCAAAGAAGAGACGCCTCTTCTCTTGAAGCAGCATTAGATTGACCGTAGGCTTTGTTGTTACAAGATGCGCTAAACCACCCGCCTCCAAGCGTTAGTTGCTCAGCTACTTCGGAGTCTTAGCAACCCCATAAACTGGGGTCCCATCAAGCTCCTCTGGCCGTGTAATTCTCCAGGTAAGAACACTAGAGTGGGTTGCCATTCCCTTCTCCAAGGGAATCTCCTCAACCCAGGGATCAAACCCTGGTCTCCTGCATTGCAGGCAGATTCTTTACCGGCTGAGCCACCAGGAAAGTCAAACCTCTCAGACAAAGGTCAGTTTTTTGCCTGCCTTATGAAATGGGAGCTGGGGACTGAACAGACTAGGTCAATGCAACTAAAGTAATGCACTCTTTCTTGCACACGCTGCTCTCCAGTATTTGGGCAGATTCTGGTTCTCAGAGGTCTGAGAGGACCTGCTGCAGATGAAGCAGTTGGAGGAAGGGGCGGTGTCTTCCTTATTCATGCTACTCTGTGTCCCTGCGATGCTGGTGCACTGAATGCTAGGAAGAGGTGGCAGTTCCAATTTCTCACTTTAAAACTTTATAGGTCGTGCAAAAATACTAAAGATAAGATGCAGAAGGGCGCAACTCCTCCCCAGGACAACCCCAGCGGGTGAGGCAGGCTCGCGCTCCAGAGAGCCGCGCCTGCGCACTACCGACTCTGAAGCACAGGCCATCTGAGGGAGGTGGGCGGGGCTGCCCGGCCATCCGGGTTCCCTCACTCCGCCCCCGCTGCATGAATGAGAGGCGCGGCGCCCGCCCCTCCCCCGCTGGGCCCGCCCCTCGCCGGGGCTGTGGCGCGCCGTCTGCAGCTGCCACCTCAGCCGCGCTCGGTTCAGCCAGACGCCCTCTGCTTACTGCCCGGAGCTGACGGTCCCAGCACGCTCGCCGCCGCTGCCCTCACGACAGAGTAAGTGAGCAAGCGAGGGTTGGGCCGCTGAGCACCGTCGCCCCCTGGTTTGGGGCGTAAGGGACCGGGCAGGTCCGGGTTCGGGATGCTGAGGAGACCGTGGGCCCGCGCCAGCCTCCCCCACTCACACTCCCGGCGCCTCGGCCGGGAGCTGGGACGGGTAGGACAGCGGCCCTGGGCCGGGAGGGGCGCGGAAAAGGGTCCGCGCACGAACAGGAGGGTGAGTCCCGCACAAAGGGAGGCGCGGAGCTGTCACCGGGAGACCACAGAGATAAGGTTCGCGGCGCCCTGTGCGCCCAGCTAGCCCGTGCCCCGCGTCTTGTCCCCGGGCGTGGGAGCTGCTGGGATGTGCCCGGAGCGAGGACGAGGATGGCGAAGACGGCTGCCTCCCTGTTGGCCGTGGGAACGCGCCTTGGGGGGGCGCGGCGTGGCAGTGTTTTCCTGGTCCCCGTCTGCTCCTCCCCTTTCTTTGTGGCGTCTATCTCATGCCCGTTTGTCACTGGGTATAAGCTATGGTCTGGGATGAGACCTCTTGCCTCGCTTACTCATTAATGAAAGTCAGGTGCTAGCCTCGTATTTGTGAGTGGGGGGCCGTGTGTGCTTCCACAGGCCAGAGAATTAAGGCCCCTCTTTTGTTTCCAGAGACTTAATGGTTTGTCTTTGACCTCCGAAATGAGCGAGTCGGAGATCATTTAAAGTGGATAAGGAAAAAAAGACATATTACTTCATCAGATCTTCAGCCAATTCTGTCTCTGGCATTTTTTCAAACAGTATTTCTTTGTTTCTTGCTGCAAAACCAGTGGGTTTTGTTAATTAAAATATGTGTCTATATTCTCAATATATGTCTATATTCTCAGTATATCCAGAACAGTTGCTTTCCGGGTGTTGGTAAGTGGTCATATACTCATGTATATGTACATGAGAATAGTACATATAGAACACTGCTTTTTAGTTAATTGGTTGTTATGTCTGTATATTGATATACGTTGTCTATAGAAACACTCCAGTATATCTAGGACACTTTTTTAGGCTCCTCAGTACAGGCAGATTTTGTTTCTTCCTGCCTCCCTGTGTTAATAAGAAGGTGGTCCAGCAGGTTCTCTCCGCCTCATTGCTTTTTTTTTTCCCCGTAATTCTTTGGCAAAGGGTTTTATTGCATATTTCCCTGGCATGCGCCCTTGCTTTGATCTGAATTTTCCTGTGCTCTGTTGTATGGTTGTGCAGCCCCAGCTCAGTGGCACCTCTTACAGGACTATTGGAAAACAGAACACCTTTTTTTTTTTTTTTGTCCTCCTCCCCAGAGAGAGGAGGAAGCTCTGCAGTTTCCCACAGACTTTGGCTCTGTGGGGACTGACTGCCTGACTTTGTTGTCTCTGTGAAGTTATGAGGAGTCACAGTTGATATGGACCAATTAAAAAGATGCAGTTATAATAGCACCAGCTATTCCTTGCTGTTTCACTTGGACCTTTTTCTCTCTTAAACTAGATCTTATAAATTTTAGAAGATAGTTGGTTGCATTTGCTGTTTCTTTTTTGTACCCTTATAATTTTGCAGAGTGACAGGAAATTAACTAAACTTAGTGGTTGTAAGAAACATACCTCCAAATATTAATATATTTTTGTTATGATCTTTTGATTCAGAATAGAAGCAGTAAAAAAAAAAGTGAGGAGCTAATTAGAGGATATGAATAGTTGAATTGATTCAGTTTTAAGATTCCCTTTAAGGTTATTTTTAATAACATATATTTTAGTTCCTGGTAGTTTTTGGTGCAAAATGAAATCAAAACTAAGCAGTCTTCCATAGCATCTGTTTATGTATATTCCCTCTGTTGCAAACATTTGCTTTTAATTTGAAAGAGAAATTTTCCATTTGGTTGGAACAGGATCCATTATTCTTGGTAAAAATCTTACCTTATGTTAGCATAATCAAATTCTTTCTTTGTAAAAGTTAAAATTAATAAAAGTTGATTTTTCAATTTGAAATTTTGGTTTTATGATGTCAGATTTAAATAAAATTTTTATGAATTTAACTCAAAATAAGGCAACTTATAAATGAGTGCTTCATTAATTACATTAACTAGTGTCACTAATACTGAAGCAACCCAAATAACTTATGAATTGCCTGCATAAGATTTTTCTTTTTTAGGAAGCCTTTTGAAACAAATCATAAGGGGAAGTCTTAAATAAACAGCATAGTGTAACCGGAATTATCACTGAAATAGGCTTGCATAGTACTACAATATTGTGCAACTTTAATTTTGCAAGCATGACTTAACTATTGTTTGTACCAACAAAGGAAACTAAAAACATCCTGGCCTTGTTATTCAGCATTCTGTTAATCAAAATCTTTACCAGTTGATAGTTTTGCATTTTTGTAGGATGATTGAAGAAAAATTCCAAAGTAATATCTATATTGTCAAAATAGGTTACGAGCTGTTTTATTAATAAACATAATCTTTACATTCATTAGAAATACTAATATTGTTATGTTAGTGATAGTAATAGTATATGTGGTGACACTTCATTACCCAAACTGGGATACATTATCCTCCCAGCATTCTGTCAGTAATTGTTTTCTGGGAATTCCCTGGTGGTCCAGTGATTAGGACTCTGCTTACACTACAGTGGGCACGGATTGATCCTTGGTGGGGGAACTAAGATCCTACATGCTGTGCAGCCAAATACTAATTGTTTTCTGTTTCAAATGGCAGTTTATGCTAAAGTTAGTAATAATCTTATCATAATGTATTATTCAGTTCAGTTCAGTCACTCAGTCGTGTCCGACTCTTTGCAACCCCATGAATCACAGCACGCCAGGCCTCCCTGTCCATCACCAACTCCCGGAGTTTACTCAAACTCATGTCCATCGAGTCGGTGATGCCATCCAGCCATCTCTTTCCTCTGTCGTCCCCTTCTCCTCCTGCCCCCAATCCCTCCCAGCATCAGGGTCTTTTCCAATGAGTCAACTCTTCGCATGAGGTGGCCAAAGTATTGGAGTTTCAGCTTCAGCATCAGTCCTTCCAATGAACACCCAGGACTGATCTCCTTTAGGATGGACTGGTTGGATCTCCTTGCAGTCCAAGGGACTCTCAAGAGTCTTCTCCAACACCATAGTTCAAAAGCATCAATTTTCCGGTGCTCAGCTTTCTTCACAGTCCAACTCTCACATCCATACATAACCACTGGAAAACCCATAGCCTTGACTAGACGGATCGTTACAAAAGTAATTGCAAATTTGCATTGTTGAATGCAAATTGCCATTTGATATTGGAATACATTCTTAAATAAATGTGGTTATGTTAGACTATAGCAATGATGTCAGACAAAAAGCAAATTCCAGCAATTTTTTTTTTATTGGAGTTCAAAATGGGTCATAAAGCAGCAGAGACAACTCGCAGCATCAACAACGCATTTGGCCCAGGGACTGCTAACAAACATACAGTGCAGTAGTGGTTCAAGAAGTTTTGCAAAGGAGACAGAGCTTTGAAGATGAGGAGCGCAGTGGCTGGCCATTGGAAGTTGACAACAACCAACTGAGAGCAATCATCAAAGCTGATCCTTTTACAACTACGTGAGAAGTTGCTAAAGAACTCAACATCAACCGTTTTACAGTCATTCTGCATTTGAAGCAAATTGGAGAGGTGAAAAAGCTCAATAAGTGGGTGCCTCATGAGCTGACTGAAAATCAAAAAAATCATCATGTTAAAGTGTAGTCTTCTCTTATCCTATGCAACAACAAGGAACCATTTCTCGATCAGATTATAATGTGTGATGAAAAGTGGATTTTATATGACAACCAGCTCAGTGGTTGGACCGAGAAGAAGCTCCAAAGCACTTCCCAAAGCCAAACTTGCACCCAAAAAAGGTCATAGTCATTGTTTGGTGGTCTGCTGCCCATCTGATCAACTACAGCTTTCTGAATCCCAGCAAAGCCATTACATCTGAGAAGTATGCTCAGCAAATCTATGAGATGCACTGAAAACTGCAATGCCTGCAGCTGGCATTGGTCAACAGAATGGGCCCAGTTCTCCTCCACAACACCACCTGACCATATGTCATACAACCAAAGCTTCAGAATTTGAATGAATTGGGCTATGAAGTTTTGGCTCAAACGCCATATTCACCTAACCTCTTGCCAACTGACCACCACTTCTTCAAGCATCTCAACAACTTTTTCCAGGGAAAATGCTTCTACAACCAGCAGGAGGCAGAAAATACTTTCCAAAAGTTCATCGAATCCCGAAGCACAGATTTTTACACAGCAGGAATAAAAAAACTTATTTCTTGTTGACAAAAATGTATTGATTGTAATGGTTCCTATTTTGATTAATAAAGATGTGTTTGAGCCTAGTTATAATGATTTAAAATTCACAGTCTGAAACCACAACTACTTTTGCACTAACCTAATAGCAGCTTAAACTATATGAAATTGCCATTTTTTTTTTTTTTTTTAGATTGGGGAGTTATCAAAAATCAGTGGTTTCATATGGTTCAATTATTTTGAATTCTTAGCAGTTCTTTCTAGCATTTACCTTTATATTTATTTCATTTTCAGTGTTTAAACTGCAATTCCTTGATTGTCTACCTTTGTATATTATCCATGGAGTTCTAGTTTGGAAGTTGAGTACTTAATTGTTCCACATAACCATCCTTCTATCCCCCACTCATATCTGTGCTTTACAGTTTTCAGTTAAGTCAGTTTTCAGTATTTATAAGACTTGGCAGTGTATCTATAATTCACAGATGAGCTGTATTGGATACGTATTACCTATTATGTTTCTTTCTTGTACAACTTTATTTCTCCTGAGTTAAATAATTGCCACTTTTGTTTGTTTTTCATTTGCCTAGTTTTCTTTTTACCAGTCACAAATTCTCCTCAAATTTTATGACAGAAATGATCATCTTTCAATATATTCAGATAATCTGTTTCATTTCTATTTCCTAGCTGTCGTATAGGACCTCCCTTCTTATCTTCTTGTGAATTCTCTTTGCTTTCCTCCT